ACTATGGAAACAATTCTTTAAACTTTAAATGTGTATTTGGTTAGAAGGTCACGTGTCCACCATAAAAGAAAATGGGATGCGTCGATAAATCAATAGGAGTCCAGGAATTTTGATCAACGGGGATACCAGTTCTGGAGGAAGTCTTGACAGGAGGCGAAGTGTCGACAGGTGTCGACAATAATAAGTGGCTACAACAGCAGTTACTAACTGACAAGTCAGTAAGAACATGGGGACGTTGCAAAGTAGTTCTCCATGAATCCCAACATGGGACTAGTAACCGTCAATGGTTACACTTTTATATTTCTATTTAAGAAAATGTTTGTATTTTTGTTAAAGGTGTCATTTCTTCACATTTGGAGCATTACACTCAAAGTACTCATATCTAAGAGAGAAACGAGTTTCAAGCTTAACAATGTACGAATGATTCCACATTTAAATTCAGAGCAATTTCCAATTTTTTCACTTTAATTTACAAGTCTTGTCATTTATTGTCTTTACTTTGAAATTGTCTTTTACTTTTTCCTGTTATCCAATATCAACCATTTTCAACCTAAAACACTCAAAACACTAAGTCTAGGATTATTGTACTCGATCATGCAAGTAACTTTAATAAGAGGCCGGAGATTGTTTCGTGAGAAACACTACATGATCGCTTTCCAGTAAGTATAATTTTCACCTTTGAAAATCCACGCTCTATTATACGGGCCCTTTGGATCATAAATGTCTTCCATATTCTCAAAACTTTTGGAGTTGATTAGACTTAATCAAAAGACCAGTTCTTGATGCCAATTATTAGGTGAGAATATGGAGTAGGAAAACAATATAGAGGGGGTGAATAGCTAAAATAAAATTCGTCTAATTTTCCAAAAAATTAAACATCATATGTTTTTCAAAGTTGCATGCGGAAGACTTAAAATGAAAAATATGCCAATTTTACTTTTATTGGTTTTTTATCAATTCGACAAAACCACAATTCACAAAACTCTAAGATTGTTCAAAATGAATAAATGAATGATTGTATATTACACAAGATGTGTTTTATTTAATGTTTCCATTATGATAGGATTCTAACAACACTAGTTCCTCTAAATTTAATCACCACTAAATCTCAATAGGGCATCAATTGTAACAAAACCTAACATTATGCAATAAATCACTACAAACTGAATAAATGATAAACTATGCTAAGAAATAAAAACCCAAGCATCAAATATCATACAAAAAATTAAATGTGAGAGTTAGAGAGATAGAGATTACATTGGGATTTATAGTACTTTGACTCTTTCTTCGTCGTGTGATCCTACTGCAACCTTCAATGGATTTCCATTGGAACATGTTTTTGTTCTTTTTTTATTTTGACAAATATTGCAAGAGTTGATACAATCAATAATATACTATAATGATGAGAAAAATAAATCTCCTATTTGGATTTTGACTTGTATACAACGTAATAACAAACTCTTATGTGTAATCTTTACTTGATTCATGCTTCTTTAATCTTCTTGTATCACCAATATACTTTAAGCCTTCGTATATAGAAATCACCCTTTGATCTTACCAATTTGTTGAGCGATGAACTGTTTGAAGATGTGAGAAGAACTCCACCTTGTACGTAGTCTTCCACACAGTCACTATCAAGGTAACCTGGATAGAAATATCTCTTTCTTTTCATTGGAATTTGTCAGCATCAATGACAAAACCTCAACTTGCAAGCAACCTGAAAATCTCAACCAAATCTTCATAAACGATTAGTTTCAAGATGGCATCTCCCTCAATCAATTACAAAAATATTTCATTATCAAGATCAGAAATCAAACTTTAGGTTGAAGATGAAAGAATTTTGTTGCAAGGTTTTTAACTTTTCAAAATTAATAGGATGTTGGTTTCAAAAAAATCATAATGTTGATTATGAATTTCACTTAAGAGTTATGTTTGAAAAATGATGACAAAATTATTTTATATGTGCTTGAGATTAAGAACAAAAATGGCTTGAAAAATTTAGTTATATTCGAATCAAGAACATTTCATGATTTGAGTCAAATGAGCAAGTGAAGTGGAATAAGAAAGAAAAGAGATGTTGATCAATTTCTCATCTCATTCGAATCAAGTGTAAAGTTTGATTTGAATAAGATAGCTCGAGATTAGAATCAATAGATGATTCTGATTTAAATCAATTCAAATAGGACCAAAAGGGAAATGTAAAAAAAAACTTTATGATTTGAATCAGGTGTAAAGTATGATTCGAATCAAATCAAGCAGAGGTGACCACTGCCTCTGATTTGAATCAAGTGTAAATTCCAATTTGAATCAAGGTGTTTGAAAAACATTGGTTTGCCTCTGTTCAATTTGACTCGAGTTAGGATATGTGCTTGATTTGAATAAAACATACAAAATCCCAATTTTTCATAGTTTTCAAAAAAAATTTGAGATTTTTCTTTTCATCTAACTTGAATCAATAACACACATGGTTCTCATTCCACTAAGTCATTCAAATGACTAAAAGCATCATGATCAGCTCAAGTATAATTATTAATTTATGCATGCTAAAAAAACAAATCGATTCAAACATGATTCAGAGATGTGAAATCATGAAGGAGATTCAATAAACGAAACAAAAGCAATAAGTCAAGAAAAAAAATAGACGTATTGGGAGTGCTCACCTTGAATTTATTAGGGACATGTAACTTCAGTCCCCCCTAGGAATATGCAGTATCAAAATCGATTGACAATATGTACCAATTGATTGGAAAATCCTAAAAAGCCTTAAAATCATTTCCTTTTTTTGTTCCAACATATAGCCTATAAATAGAGGTCCCTTTCCACACTTTTTCATCATCCAAAATCGTGTTTTCACTTTTCACATATCACACTCTCTCTCTAAAATTTTCTACTGTTTACTTTCCCTCACTAAAAATTTAGCTGAAGTGTTTTTTGAGAAAGTCCTTTTGTGAGTGAGGAAATTGTAATTTTGGAAGGGTAGTTTTGTAAGTTCACCAAGTTTGGTTTTTAATTTGGTTGAACATTTTATCCAATTATGGATTGTATGTTCGGTTTGAAAGCTAAACACGTAAAAAGCTTTGTTTTGGGGAATTGTGTGATCAAGTCTCCCTTTAAGTTCGAGAACAACCCGTTGTTAAAATCTCATAGATTATTGGTTAGCCCGAGATAAAATCAATATTAGGTTCAAGCTTATCCCGGTATTAAAATCTTGATAGGTTTGAGATTACCTGGTCGTAAAAATATATAAAAGAAATCAAACTCATTCAATAATTAATTTTCCTTCTCGCCCCATCGCGACGAATCAAATCACTTCTCGCCTTTGTGCGATTAACCAAGTTCAAACATTTTTCACAATACTAAAAAACTCCAACCAAACAAATACCTGAACTACGTAGGACTATGATTTCTCACATCCTTTGATGAGAGGTATGTAGGCACACGGTTGCGAGACCAAGGTGAGTCAACTTTTAATCTTTTCCTGTTTTATTCTTTTGTAGATTTTTTTATTGTGTGAATAAATGAATAAATAAAGCAGATTAAGCCAGAATAAGTAAACACACCTAGCAACCATAAGATTAGAGAAGGTTCTCCTTGAGTACAAGAGAGGTGAGGGGTGCCTAACACCTTTCGCTCACTTAATTGACTCTCGAACTCTTAACTTGGTTAAACAACCACCTCATACATATCTTTAGGGTTTTTCCGTTATCTTTCCTGTCTTTAGGACAAATAAATAATGGTGGCGACTTCATTGAATTTTTTCAACCGCGACACACCCGAGAGATGCAATGCCTCGCAGGGACATGTAGTCTCGTCAATCGGGATCAATGTATAACCTCATCTAATGGACTTGGAGTTTCATCAGGATCTAGCTTAATGTTTCTCCTAAGAGACGCGGCCAAAGTCTAACCTAGAAGACTTAACTTAAAGTCTTGTCTGAAGGCTTGATAGAAGTCACGTCCATGAGATCATGCCTTGTCTGAGGGACTAGGAGTCTCGTCAATCAAGCTCAATGTATAACTTCGCTTGAGGGATTTGGATTCGACGTAAGACGCGGAGAATCATCCAGTCATATTCGAATGCAGATGGTGCACTAACACCTGAGATCAAGTATCCGATATTTTGCGAGGTCCCACATATTTGTTTGTTTGCCTAATAGATTCTACAAATTGAACTTAATAGTTTAGCGTTTAGCCACTTTCTTTAGACTTGTGGCCAACCCAAAACAATATAAACAAATTTCATAAGTAATTACAAAAATATATGCATATGTTTCAAAGAATATGGACATTTAATATTTGATAAATAGAACATGATTAAGATTAGTGTAGAGTTAACCCTTTGATGGTGTGAGTTGGTTGAGAGTAAAGCCAACATGTACTACAATCTTATCTTATCACGGAGAGGGTTTGGTTGTTAGGACGACCAAGTAGTTACCTCAACATAAACCAAAGTATAAGCAGTGATGATAATGGTGACAGGGAGAGAGAAAGAGAGAGGGGTATGATAGGGTCAGTCATTAGTTAGTGTTTATGAAGATGACAATACTTGTTCCGTTATGTAGTAAACTAACAATAACAATAAACAAGACCCTCTCAAATCTTGTTTTGTTTTTGTATTTTGAAAAGAAAGATATCAATATGTCTGTCCCTTGCTTTGCTATGCAATGTGCATCACCCATCACATAAGTGTGTCTGTCTTTCCTGTCATTTTAGAGAGAGACAGCGTATGACCCTGCAACTGTAACACATCAATCTCACACGTGTGACCAATGTTCTTTTTCCTTTATTAATTAAATTATTATAAAATAAATAAACACTGACACCAACTTGTTAAAATAAAATAGAATGCCAGTGTCATTACCTCAGTCTGGACACATAACTACTTCTCTCTCTCTCAAATAAGTTCTTGTTGCTTTTTCCACTTTCTTCTCCATTTTACCTTTCACTATTTGTTTCTTCTCTGTCCTGTAAAACTTTGCTCATCACATTTAATATTCTCTTATGTTATTTAAGATGAAAGAAGCAAGTGTTAAAGATAACACTAATGGTGTAACTCATTACCAATCTTCTTATTCTTCTCCTTCAATGGGAACTGTCTATGCAAATATGGATTCTCTATCACTTAACTATGCTGCTTCTTCTTCATCTCAAGACTGCTATGTCTCTAAGGAGGGTACTGCTACTAACTGGTCTTTACCACTTATGAGAGAATGTTATCTTACAAGAAACTTTGAAGAAAACAACAATATTCATGATGTTGAGGAAAGTAATGGTAATGGTTCTGATTCTGGTGATGGTGTTGAAGAAAACAGTGACAAAATTAACCTCAATGAAGAGCACAACCCTAATGAGAATAATAGTGGACATTCTAAACTATGTGCAAGAGGTCATTGGAGACCTGCAGAAGATTGTAAACTCAAAGAACTTGTTGCTCTTTATGGTCCTCAAAACTGGAACCTCATCGCTGAAAAGCTACAAGGAAGATCAGGTTTGTGAACAAAACTTGTGCAAAAAGAATGTATCATTTTGTTGTTGTATATATCTAGTAAAATATCTTGCTTTCTTTTCTTGTTTAAACAACTTTTATTTCTTTCCTCTTTTTGTGATATTCTCTTTTTGTATTTGAAGGTAAGAGTTGTAGGCTTAGATGGTTCAACCAGTTAGATCCAAGAATAAACAGAAGAGCTTTTAGTGAAGAAGAGGAAGAAAGACTAATGCAAGCTCATAGGATTTATGGAAACAAATGGGCTATGATTGCAAGGCTTTTCCCAGGAAGAACTGATAATGCAGTTAAGAATCACTGGCATGTTATAATGGCCAGAAAGTATAGAGAACAATCAAGTGCTTACAGGAGAAGGAGGTTGAATCAATCAGTTTATAGAAGATTAGAAGATAATACAAACTTTGTCTCAAGAGATATAGCCACAGGGATGGATCCAGTTTCGTCACCCTATTGTGCTTTTAACTTCCCAAATGTCTATAATATGACTAGTTTTCCATATCCATCTTTTCATGGTGGTGTTGAATGTGGCTTAAATGGTTCATCTTCCATGAATGGTGGCAAAGAAACCATCTCAAGCAACAAGCAGTCTGTTTCTCCTATTGATTTCTTTCCAGGTATGTCTCTATGATGCATGTTTAGATTATTGGTGAATATCAAAAAATTAATGTTTTCTTCCATTGGGTTTGATTTGCAGGTGCTAATAGAAATGAGTATTGTAGCCAAATGAAATGGCATGATAGGCCAAGTGATTTACATAATCAACCAATGAGTTTCTACTATAATTATCCCCAATATATGATGCCAATGCCGCACCAACAGCAACAACAAAACAACAATCACAACAACAATAGTACTAATATTTATAGTTTCTCATCGAATTCAACCACAGTAGCGACAAGGGCACAAATATTGAACAGTGAAGTTTCACTATCATCAGTGGCAGCAGAAGAAATAGATCAAGTTCTGATGACTAATCCACCTCCACCTTCAGATGCAATTCCATTTATTGATTTTCTTGGAGTAGGAGCCACATGAATCAAAGTTACAAACCAATCATCCATTGAAGCTCCTCAATATAGGTGTGGTCCAACCTTAAGGAGAAGCCATTGGAGGTAAACAGAAAGGATAGTTGCTTTGGTTTGGTCACTGTGTTACTTGCGTCACTTCTGTTCATACTTGATATCACCTTCACATGGGGACCCTCTCCAAACTTCAATAAAATTCATAATAAAAACAATAATAATATAATTCCATTTTATTAATATTACATGAACTTTTCTATATTTATTATTATCTGAAAAGATGAGTTGCATGTATAAATATCTCTGTCTACTAGTATGTTTTTTTAACTTTATCCTTCAATGTGTCATCAACAAAGCCTAACAAAGATTGAAATGGATCATTTGATATTAAAGGTGTAATGAAACATTCTCTAGGTTACTTAGAATAGGGCTAATTTGTTAAGCATAAAAGCTAAGAAGAGGGTATTATTTCATTAAAACAAATTAGGAAGCAAAAAGGACATGAATAGAATAAAATATAATGCATACGTGCAAAAGGGTAGGGAAGGACAAAGCAATATAGTCCTTATTTCAAGGCTGCTTTTTGGGATTATAAATATGTTTGTTTGAATTTGAAGTTGCTATTCAAACCAGGGTTGTTTGACTTTTGGGGGGAAGGTGATGGAATTGATGAAGATAGATAAGAAATGAGATCATCTTTTTTTCATGGACCTTTGGTATGCAATCAATAAGTCACAAATTCAGCAAGTAATGCATTTAAGATGGTTGAACTGTTTAACAACTTCCCCCTCCTCATCAGCACAATTTTTGTGAGAAATTAAGTTCATGCCACTCACATGCATGATGTTGCTTCATACTAATTGAATATTTTTTGTGATTCTACACTACTTTTCTTTCATTATAATGTTTATTTCTCAAACAAGATGGAAACTAGGTGGTTGGGTGAAATTTGACACTAGTTTTAACTATTTCAAATCTTAATTAAATTCAAGAGATACTGTGCATATATAATGACTTTTAAGTCATATCAAAATGATAATATTAAATAAGGTAAATTTGGCTATTACTTTTACTTTAAATGAAAGGGGTTGGTCAACTAGTTTGAAGCTAATAGAGTTAAATGTTAGAAAGAAGTTGTAGGTTAAGGGTTTAACTCTGTAAAAATGTCTAAACACAGTAATAACAGTTAATTATCGACAATTTACAGAAAAGTACATTTACTTTTTAGTTATGATCACTTGTAGAGAGCTCTCGAAAAGAATTATCCGATTCAAAATGTGTCGGCATTAATGGGCACATGTATTTATAAGTTCGGAAAAAAAACCTGATTTAAACTTGGCCAAAAGAACATGTTATAATATGGACTTGAATTATATTAACTAAGTTTGATCTTAGATGAGATAGACATTACCCTAAATGGACAATTTTTTTATTATTATAAAACAAACTCATAATATTTGTTATAGTTGCTAAAAAAAAAATTACAATGAGTGTAGTCATGTGTTTGTAGGGTTGTATTTAGTGTTTATCATATTTGACTGTGTTTAAGGTTAGCGCACTACAAGAAATTTTTTATATAGTTTTTTTTTTAAAAGATTAGATATCCCGTCAAAGTCATAAAACTTAGGTACTTATAAAGAGGATTATTCTCCTTTAATCATTACCAAATTACCGTTTTAACACCTCATTAGCTACGTGCAATATATGAGTGGATCACATCGGGCGGGCTAAGCCTAATAGACCGGTTGTCATCCAGTTTAGGTGGCCTGATGCTTCTGTTAAAGGCAATCTACCACCTCATGTTGGTTGTTCTCCTAGTATGTGGATAGTTGGTTTGAATCGTTTATTCAGGGAGCTTCCTTCTCTAGAACCAATAAAAGTAACCTATACACATTCCCTCAAGCAAAAGAAATTGAAAAATGTGAATTGATTGAGTCCAAGCAGAAGTTAATTTATTTCTAGGTGTGACTTATATAGTCGAGTCCCTCAGGAGAGACTGATAAAGGAAAGACTTTGATAAGTTGAGTCCCTCGGGCGAGTTCTTTGGGCGATGCTTTGATAAGTTGAGTCTCGCAGGCCAGCCCGTTGTAAGGGTGAGTTCCTCATGCAAGACATTGATAAGTTGAGTCTCTCGGGAAATACTTGTCTTTTCTTATGCACTATTTGCAATGTTTCTCCCGTTTGAGGTTTTCTTGCAACATCACCCTTTATGATATCTTTAATGATTATAGTCCAGTCTTTAGGCATTATATTTATTGATTTCTTTTTGTTGTTATTATTTGAGTTGACGAAGACGCCTTGTGAGGCTTAGCCATGATTGACAATTATAACTTTGTTTCATATGACTCGAACGAGATGGTTTTTTGGGGTGGCATTTATTGCTCATCAGGAAATGAGGCTTGGGTAAGGCGAAATGATCTTAAATTCGTGAGACATTAATCTATTTCTAAAGTGTGCATCCTAAGATGAGGGAGTGAGACATATCGCTAGAGGATGAGTCCCTCAGGCGTCACATCATTTGATTTATTAGGTATGCGTACCTTTTGTTCACTATTTGTCTTTTTCCATTTGTAGGTTTCCATGCAACCCCACCCTTTGGGGTTTATTAATAAAATGTTAAAGTGTCATGACGACCCTTCTCGTGTTATTTGGATTTCCCTAAAATTACTTTTGTAGAGTTTACGTTTCATAGGTGCGCGGTTTGATTCTTCTTGGTCGAGGAAACCAGTAGTAAGTTTCCCGAAGGCAACCAAGATCCTTCAGTGATGGTCTAACAATCATATTGCCTCTTAGATATGCAATGGACATTTAGTGACGATCTAGAAATCATATTGCCTTTTAGGGACGATCTAACTTCTTTGCGTGTTGATTTTTACTGATTTATGGATGTAGTGACAGAGCAGTTTGATAATATCGATCAACATATTTATTCTGTTGCTCCTCATCTTGGACGTAGTGGCTAATTTTTCTGGATAATGTTGCTTTCTTAAAATTAGGATTTTCTTGTTTTCTAGATTAGATTTGATGTTTTTAGGCTATTTTGTAATTTTCCTGCATTCTTATGTTACAATAGAAGTTTACAAATTTTCAGTATTTAATTTTACTTATGGCATTTTATTATTTTATTTTATGTTTTTCATTTTTCTGGGATTTATCTGCTATTGCGTGCTTGGAGTGTGATTTTAAGTTGAAGTATGTTTAAAATTTTGGACTATTTAGGTTTTAAACCTGTGGCGCTCACCACAAGCCCGTGGCCCTCACCACGGTATCAAAACTACGTGGCCCCCACCACGGTATGTGTGGCCCTCGCCACGATCTTCACAAAATAGAAACAAGAGTATTTTTATGAAACACTCCTTGGTTCCCTCTTCTTCTGCCATTCGACCCAATCTCTTCCTTTTTCAACCCTTTCCAACTTCCACTTAACACCCATTAACACCCACTCATGTTTCATATTCCAATTTCCTTTAACCCTTTAAATTCTTGAATTGCTCTGCATATCAAACTACAAAATAAGTTGTGTGTTGCCACGTGACTTCCACGTCGCTAACACCAAAATCATGTCACAAATTTATTTTTTCCACCTGAAGAAACACGTCGCTGGAGAGCGCGTGGCAATGTTTTTGCGACGTGGGAAACATGTCACAATGTTGCCACCTGAAATTCACGCCGCAACAAACTTTATGGGGTCAAAGACAGTCAAAGCAGAGCAGAGGTCAGAGCAAGCTTTATATTCACTTTTACGTTGTGTGTTGCGGCGTGTTTTTCATGTCACTAATTTGTGACGCAGAAAACACGTCGCAACTTATTTTAAAAAAATATTATTTTCTGTTTTAAATATAATAATTCTAATATAATAATTAATATTACTTTCTGTTTCATTAAATTTATAAATTAAATATTATAATTTATTTATTAAATTCAATATTATAAATCAAATTATCAAAAATAAAACTAAATATATCAAAATATATAAATTAATATACTTAATATAATAAAATTAATAAACTAAAATTTAAATTTAATATTTTTAAATATAAAATATGATTATAAATTTATATTAGTACACAAATAAAAAAATAAATAGAAAATAAAAATAAAGCTAAGCAGAAGGATCATTCGAGTCGTCGGAAAAGTCGCGAAGAAAGTCATCATTATTTTGGTGGTTATCATTTTGGCCACCATTGTTGAGATTTCCACCAAATGCTTGCATAAATTGTCGCATTTGCTCCTCCATACCAGTCCGCCTCTTCCCCATTGCCTCCATTTCTCTATTATGTTCACCCCTCATTGCCTCCATTTGGGCCTTCAATGCCGCTTCCATTTGGACCTTCAATGCTGCCTCACGTTCTTCGGACTCGCGTCTAGCCAATTATCTTACCGTTTTCTAACTGATCTCGTGTCAAATTTGTTTGACGTGACACTCCTTCACCGTCCGCAGCTCTCTGATAGAGAGTTCTATCCCCACTCCTCAAAATGCCTGCCAAATTTCCACCACCAAAAAAGCACCCGTTAGGCCCCTTTCCCCTAACAACTTGACTCCAAATATAGAAATCCACATCTGGATGAACCGGTTTTCTCGGAGGAGGAGTATACTGAGGATTATGGGTCAGAAATTCTACAAGCAAGGCCTGATAATCCTCCTACACATAAAATAAAAAAATCAAGTTAAATATATAAGTAAAGTTAATTAAATAAAATAAAATAAAATAAAAAATAAAAAACGTATAGCCACGTGATTGTAACGCCACAACTTATCAGTTGCCACTCAATTTTCACGCCACAACATCTCACTTGCCACGTGAAAATCACGTCATAAAATTGCTTTAAAAAATATATATATATAAACATAAATTTACTTACCAAAGTTTTTTTTGTACGCTCGTCAATAAATTCCCCCGATTTCTTTGTCCGAGTTTCGGTAACCAGTCAATCATCAATGGTTGTCTCCCCAAACGCTTAGCCTAAATAAAAAAATTAACTTAAATTAATAATATATGTTATAAATCCAAA